GTATTTGTTGTGCTCCTCGAAAGAGATTATCAAATGATTTCGATCAATTTCCCCAGAACTTTCGATACAGATTCTGTCCAATTTTCGGAGAAAATCTGTATCGAAAGTTCTGGGGGAAACGAAAAAACAGTCAAACGAATCTTTTTTTACAAAGAGCGTTCTGAAAATGGCTGAAAAAATCTCAAAAAAGAATTGAGTTTAACATTATGCCTTTCAATAAGAAAAATTCAACCTTTGGTCCGATCCAGAACGCTTCTTTCGAATAAACAGTTTTCGCTGAAATAAATCTTGTTTTTGGTTTATAAAGCATACATTTCTGCAAAAACCATGGGTTTTCAGAGTTGAATCATTTCGATTTCTTACCGAGTTTCCAAACAAAATCGTTCTCTTCCTGAATGTGAATCGAGACTAAATGGCTCTTTCGACTCGCACAATATGCCTCGGCTTGAGCAAATGATCTTGATCGATAATCTGAAGATGAAGATAATCCTGGTTCACAACAGCCACCAAACCTTGTACCAAGAAGCGGTTTCTTCCAAATACAACCAGCCATCCAGATCCAAGAAAGTCGTTCGACTTCTGAATTTCTTCGAAAATCTTTACTCCAGGTTTTTTTGAAACAAATACTCCTTCCTTTTCGATCAAACAAACTCACAAATCTGCATGCAAATCTAGAAACTATTCAAAGCATAGGGACAAGCGTTTTATGTAGTGAAATAAGCGGAGTTTTAAAACTAAAATAAAATAATTTGCAAGAAAGATTAAAGTATCTAGGTAGAAATTAAATAAGCTAATGTTTTGTATGCTTTTATAGGCGAAATAGCCAAAAAAGGGGCAAAATTTTGAGTGGGGGTTGGGGTAAGCCAGTGTCGCCCTCTTCAAACATTGCTTAAATGATTTTGTATGCTTTTATGACGAAAAATAGGTAAAATAATGCGATGAAGAAAGGGACGTTGAGCTAGTATCACCAAAATAAAAAATGTCTAAAAAGGTGTAAGCTTTATCGCCGAAAATTTCTCAAAATGCACTCTCATAACCAGTTTATTTCAAGAAATGTAGACGTTAATTATTTAGCTGAATATCTTTAACCTACTTCTAGTGGTTTAAAAATGTTCAGTCGAACAATTATTTTATTTTTCGCGTGCACTTGAATTAGCCAATCTTACATTCTTACGCCTTTCTATTTCTGTCACCCTTTCTCTTCTCTCATGCAAAGACCACACTGTCCCTCCATAAAGCGCCTAGTTATATGCCTGTCTTGTATTTGAATCCTTTTCTTCGAAAAATTATTCCGAAAAACCGTTCTTTTTGTTTACGAGGACTCCCTCCCGCGTCAATCTTGCTCATTTTAACATTTTATCTACTTAAATTCGTTTTTAGTTTTGACTTCACAGAATGTCTGTTCAACCAGTCAAGCCAAAGCCGTTCCTCAATGGACTCGACCGAAAGCCAGTTGTGTGCAGATTGAAGTGGGGAATCGAATATCGAGGCGTCCTTATCTGATTCTTAGATCTCCAAAAAGGTCACGACGTAAAGCCAAAGAAAGACGCAGATCTCGAGATCATGATCGTGACCGTGGGGATCGAGATCGAGGGGACCGGGACCGGGACCTAGCCGTGGGGACCATGAACGTTCACCAGAAAGACGCAGAGGTGGCGACCGCGCACCGAAAAGGTGAAGATGGTTACTTTTAAAAATTGTCTTTGTTTACAACTGATTCAGGTAACCATCTCCTAAACATAAAGCTTCTCCAGAAAGACGAACACGGTAATAGAGCTTTGCACCTTTTTTTATGAAAATTATTTAGATCTCTATCACCAAAGCGTGATGCCAGTCCTGAACGGTGGAAACGGTTGGTTTAACCTGGGTTGCATTCAGTATTAGTGATTTAGGTCGCTAACGCCAAAACGTGCTCGACGTGAAGAATCACCAGAAAAGAGAAAAGAAAATGAAGCTCCTCAAAAAGTATTCAAGAAAACTTTGTTGAAGTAAATACATTTTAGGAAAAGAAAGAGCCTATTGATTTATTGCGTTCTCGCCCTGGAGGCGAATACATCCCACCAGCGAAGCTGAAGTTGATGCAAGAACAAAAAGCAGGTAATGCATCAAATCATAACGTGGTCACAGAGAAAATTTAAGATAAATCGGGTGAGCAATTTCAACGATTGAATTGGGAGCGTCTGAAGAAAATGATCCACGGTCTCGTCAATAAAATCAACGCCAGCAATCTTGTCGGAATTGTGCGAGAGCTTCTTCCAGAAAACATTATCCGTGGAAAGTTTGTTTTTTCGCATTTTCTCAAGTAAACAAAATTTTAGGGGTTTGCTGACTCGATCGATAATTCAAGCACAAGCCTTTTCTCCAACATTTTCACATACTTTTGATGCTTAAAACACCAACGGAAGATTCAGTGGAAGTGTGTATTGCTTTTCTGAAAGAATGTGGCGCGAAACTGACAGAGGTTTGCTTTATTTAGAAACGCTTATTGAGAAATGATTTGTTAGCTTGCCCCGCGTACCTTGGACAATGTTTTATCAAGACTTCGAAACATTCTTGCTGAAGCACAATTGGATTCACGTATTCGTGATATGATTGAAATTGCAATGGCAATTCGGAGAGGTAAATTTGCGGTCAGTTTTTAGTTCTATTGCCTGGCAAAGTTTATTCTTTAAGGACTACCCAGATGAACTCGATCTTGTCTCGGAAGAGGGCCAATTTTACACATACCTTTCCCTTGAAGATGCTACCGATCCTGAAAATATGCTTAGTGGGTGAACTGAAAAATTTAATTTTGGATCAACTTGGCTTTCAAACAAGCTTTACAGACATTTTCAAATTGGATCCCGATTTTGAGAAAAATGAAGCTGCCTTCAACGAGATCCGTGAATTTCATCGTTTTAAATTTTAGAAAACTTCAGACGAATCTAATGCAATATTTAAATACTTATTTCGGCTCAACCTCAACAAATGGAAATCATTGACAACACTGAGCAAAATCTCGTTGCTTTCCGTCGCGAAGTTTGCTTGACAATTCAATCATCGCTCGACTATCAAGAGGCCGCTCACAAACTTCTCAAAATGGGTTGCAAGCCAGAATTGGAGGTTGGGCTTATTGATAGACTCTGTCAAAAAATTATAGACGCACCCTGTTTTTTGCTAGTTTTTGAGCCAGGTATAAGTGCTAGTCCAGTGAAAAGTATTTTTTAGTTTCTTTAATGTAAAAAGACAACCCATGCAAAATTTCAAGTCATATCACTCCAAAGTACTTTATCGTACAAAAAACGTTTTATCAGCTGTCAAAAAATTATAGGATTTTTTGACAGAGTGTATAAAACCTTTTTGGCTCTTTCCAATTACTAGGTACTTTAACCGTGGAACCCGCTTTTCTTAAATTTTAAGATACCCGATTTTTTTAAGGTACCTAGTAATAGAAAAGAGCCACATTTTTTTTCATTTTAGCCGGAATTCATTCACATCCTCTGTTGTGCACATCAACGTACTTATGAAAGGTTTTATGGACTTCTCTGCGAGCGTTTTTGTCGGCTGAAACGTGAATTTGAAGTTAGTTTCAAACGTATATGACTATGTTTTTATTTTAGACTACTTTTCAGACGATAGCTCGTGAGACTGATCAAACTATCCATCGCTTTGATATTGCGAAACTGAGGAATATGGCTTGCTTAATCAGTCATTTGCTTTTCACAGGTGCCATTACTTGGGATGTAAGTCTTTATACGAATATTTACTTTTTCGTATCCATGTTTAAAGTGTTCAAATTTAGGCTTTGAGCGAAATCCATTTGAACGAGATTGGGACAACTTCTTCGGGCAGGATTTAGATCAAAACCATTTTCCTTGAATTGGCTCAAATGGGACTTCCAAAGCTGTATAAAAGAGTCTGTGATCCGTAAATTTAGAGATCTTCTAGAATTCAATAATCTTTAGTACAGTGCAACATGCGTTTGAGGGACTTTTTCCTCGGAACAACCCAGCCGATACTCGCTTCGCCATCAATTTCTTCACATTAATCGGTCTTGGTGGACTGACGTAAGAAAGATTTGAGAAAGCTAGTAAGTGTATAAATTTTAGGGTGGATCTTCGCGAGTTTTTGTAAAAAGGCGGAAAGAGGAAGAGATCTGACTCCGAATCAAGCTCTGAATTCTCTTCATCATCATCCGACGATGACAGCGACAGTGACTCTGATACTATTTCTTCAAGCTCGTCAGATTCGGATTCAGGTGATGATTAGTAATTTTTATACTTATTGCATACTTTTTTATACAGTGCCGAAGCCAAGCGAAGCGTGAAAGCAGTCATCATCAGCTTCTTTGAGTAAGTGCCCAGCCTAGATTTATCAGAATGGTATAAAGAAAGCAGAGTCTTGTTAAGAATTCTTCAAGAATGCTTCGCGATTCCTCAAGATTGAAAGGCCAGTGCTTTTGTTTAATTTCCTTGGACATGGAAAAGTTCTTGGAGAAGAGTAAAGCCACCGATCTCGACACAAATGATTGTTTTCCCGAAAATTGGACAGAATCTGTATCGAAAGTTCTGGGGGAAATCGATCGAAATCATTTGATAATCTCTTTCCAAGAGCACAACAAATGCGGACGATGGGAGAATCAATTCCTGCTCTCGACGAACACCATTACGGCTCATCCTTCCAAAAAAAAAATCGTCACATTGAGCCGTTTCAAAGTGAAATTCCCTGTCATTCGTAAATCGTTATTTACTTTGTAAATCGGGCATTCCCCTCCTTTCTCTTTATTTTCCGTGGTAAGAAATCCCTATGTTGCTTGACAACAAATTTCTTGTTTGATTTGGTCTTCTCTCATCAATTCTGTCTCTTCAGTAGCTGTTTCCTTTAATTTTCACTTGTTCTTCGGGAAAATTCAGTTATTTTGTAGGCGTCCAATCGTCTAGCAACCGTCTAGCAAAATGGACAATCTCTCGAATCCCCAACGCGAAGCCGAAAAGAATGTCAAACGCATAGAAGAACCGGTCATGTCGTTGAAGAAAATCGCCCAACTCGAAGCCGATTTGTGGGTTTTTCGCCAAATCTTTGCTTCTATCAAAAACAGTCTTTAATTTAATCGAAGAGTTTAGGGAAGAAATGAAAATGAACAAAGAGGTCGAGATTAGTCGATTGGCAGCAAATATGGCGATCGAGGCGAATTTGAAAATCGCGAAGTTGGAGGCCGATTTGGTTGACGAAAGGGAGAGAATTGGAAAGTTGGAAGGAAAAACGACGATCTCGAAGCACAATTGTACTAATTTTGTAACTTTCTTTTCTGACAAGCCCAATGCATAGTTGAAATGCGAACTTTTTTCAGAAGAACTCAAATTATGGAGGTGAGGGAAGGAAAGGCCAAGATTGGAGAGCTCGACGGGAAAATCAACGCGTTGCAGAGCAAAAACTTTGATCTCGAAACCCAAATGTGAGTTTATTTGGTATCTCTTGTCGACTGAGACTTGAGAAAACAGTTTTTTCACTCCCAAAACACCCATTCCACTCAATCTAATCAATTCCTCTCTAGACAATCTAAAAGGGAAAAAAAGTTGCAGGTAGGTTGATCTCTTTTTAAGGAAAGGGATTGATTATTTGTCTAAAAAATCTGGGGTAAACTTTTTCGAAGAAATTCAGAAATCGAACGATGAATCTCTCGGATCCGGGTGAATGGTCGTATTTGGCAAAAACCGCTTCTTGGTACAAGGTTTGGTGGATGTTGTGAACCGGGATTATCTTCATCTCAAGGTTATCGATCAATATATGACATTCGATGGCGCCGAGGCATATTGTGCGAGTCGAAGGATCGATTTAGTCTCAATTCACAGTCAGGAAGAGAACGATTTTGTTTGTGAACTCGGTAAGAAATCGAAATGATTGAATTCTGAAAATTCAGGATTTTCGTAGAAATTTATGCTTTATAAACCAAAAACAATCGATATTTATTTCAGCGGAAACTCTTGTGAGTTCGAAAACTGCTAGTTCGTTGGATGGTTTCTGGATAGGACTGAAGGTTGAACTTTTCTTATTGAAAGACATAAATAAATAGAAAGTAATGATCCTTTTAGCCATTTTCTGAAAAAATGAGCCCTTTGACTGATAGTTTTTTGATAGAAATAATGGTTTCAATTGGGAAACTAGAATAGTTTTTAAATGAAAAAAAATCGAAATATCAACGGTGAAACATAAAAATTTCTTTATTCAGAGAAATCCGGACAAAGGAAATGCTTTTGAATGGACGGATGGAAGTTCGGTGGATTTCATTTATTGGGATTCGGAAGAGCCGGGTTCGAACACCCACGCTAAGGTGAGATTTTCAGGGTGAAATCTATTATTTATTTCCAATGCATAGTTAATCCAAAAATATTTGGATCAACCTTAGGAGATTTCTTTGTGTAAAATAGCGTAGATGTTTTATCAAAGGATTTCCCGCAGAAATGAACACATTTCAGTTTTGGAGCTCTGATGGGATATGGGGGACCTCTCATCCTACCAATCATTTTCCTTTTATCTGCAAAAGGAACTCTCAATTCTCATAAATGCTTTGTGTTCTTTTCTGTGGACAAAAACCAATAAATCTCATTTTATCCGGTCTTCTGAAAACGCAACTGCACATTATCTTTTACTTTATTTCTGAACTGTTTGTTCAACATCTCATAAAAGTTTTCCCAAAGATTCAGAATTCCGCCTGAAGCTGCAAGTATTTTGCTCCCTCGTCGCTCCTGAATAGACTATTAGATATGGAATATGGTTTATAATCAAAAGGGATTTCATTCGGAATTCACTCTGCACTCTGCCACCAATTGGAGCCGGATTCTTCTTGAGATGATTGGCAAAGTTTGGCTTGATCACACTGCAAATGGTCGAAACGAATGAAATTTTTCTTAGGTATTCGGCAAATATTTGGGGAAGAGCGTTGTGAAAGGGATGTTGATGTAATTTCACGGATCAACCACAATTTCTCGAGGGGATTTCGGGAAGCCGTGTAGTCGTTGGCACTTGGAGGCAAAAGATGAGCAGATGGCTTTCTGTGAGTTTTGGGTTTTTGAACCAGATTCTTCAAACAGACCAGACTATCAGTCTGGTCTTATCTGCAAAAGGGGCTCTCAATTCTTATAAATGCTTTGTTTTCCTTTCTGTTGACAAGAACCAATGATCCAATCTTATTCAGTCTTCTGGAAACACACAACTGCACATTATCGTTCGTGTTCGTCAGTTTCGCATTGAGGAGATCGGATTTCACTTCTCGCTAACAAATACACAGAAAATGTTTGATTTATCACTGCACTATCTCTGTTTCCGATTGTTGTTGTCGCCCATTCGATTCATCGATTGAAATTCCCCTCCAATTCGATATGATGAATAAGATTTACAGGAATTACCTGAGAATAGCTGAGAAAACGATGCTCCATGGAGCAAAGGCGTCGGCTCCCTCGATTTGTTTTAGGCTCTTAACGATAAATAGTTTCATAAAAATAGCTTCATTAATCTATTTAGAATCTCCATTACAATATACAGTACGTTCCAATTCTTAACCCCACCCTCTATAAATTAAAGATCTTTGCATTTTGAACAACGCTTTGATAAAACAATTCGTGTTATTTCACAAAAAGAATTTTCCTCAGATTGATCCAAATATTTTTGGATTAATTATACATTGCAAATTGGAAAAAATATTGATGATTTCACGTTGAAAATCTCACATAAGCGTGGGTGTTCGAATTCGGCTGTCCTTCATCCCAATTCGTGAAATCCATTGAACTTCCATCCGTCCATTCAAAAGCATTTTCTTTGATCGAATTTCTCTGAATAAAGAAATTTTTATGTTTCACTGTTGATGTGTCAACCAAATTTTTTTCCATTTGAAAACTATGAGAGACTAAATCAGGTTTCTATCAGTCTCTATCATTTCAGATTTCCATCAAAGAACTATCAGTCAAACGAATCTTTTTCACCAAAAAGCCTTCCTAAAATGCCTGAAAGAATCTTACTTTCTTTTTATTCATTACTTTCAATGAGTAAAATTCAACCTTCAGTCCGATCCAGAACGACTATCCTTCATCCATATCAATATTTTTCGCTGAAATAAATATCGATTGTTTTGGGTTTATAAAGCAGAAATCTCTACGAAAATCATGAATTTTCAGAATTGAATCACTTCGATTTCTTACCGAGTCTCCAAACAAAGTCGTTCTCTTCCTGACTGTGAATGGAGACTAAGCGGCTCTTTCGACTCGCACAATATGCCTCGGCTTCATCAAATGAAATTCTTTGATCGATAACCCTGAGATGAAGATAATCCCGGTTCACAACATCCACCAAACCTTGTACCAAGAAGCGGTTTTTGCCAAATACGACCATCGATCCCGATACAGATCCAAGAGATCCATGGTTCGATTTCTGAATTTCTTCGGAAAACATTAGTCCAGATCCTTTAGACAAATACTCAATCTATTTTCTTAAAAAACGCATAAATCTGCCCGCAACCTCTTGATTTCGGTCATTTTGTTTTCTCTTTTAAATTGTCAAGAGGGGAGTGGATTGGATTGATTGGCATTGGTGTTTTGGGAGTGAAAAAAAATCTTTTCTCAAGTCTCAGTCGGCAAGAGATACCAAATAAACTCACACTTGGGTTTCGAGGTCAGAGTTCTTGCTCTGCAACGCGGTGATTTTCCCTTCGACCTCTCCAATCTTGGCTTTTCCGCCTCTCACTTCTGTATTTTGAGTTCTTCTGAAAAAGTCGTTTTGGTGTTTGTAGCTTTGCTCGACCGAGAAGAGCTTCTCGTCAGAAAACAGGATTCGCTTTGCATGGAATGCTGTTTGAAGACACGACCGAAGACTTATAGGCATTCAAACGCCTATCAAGTCAAATGTCCAACATACCTACACATATCTATGCTACGTACTACGTCAACAAACAGAAAAATCAATTTCGAGGTAGATGAATTCTCTTTACTGTCGCTAGTTCTTCTATAGATTTGCTCAATGAACTACCCGAAATGACTCGACAAATGGAAACCATCGAGGCAGCTTTAATGAATTGAGACTAAATGGCTCTTTCGACTCGCACAATATGCCTCAGCTTCATCAAATGTCATTTCCTGATCAATAACCTTGAGATGAAGACATTCCGCAAATATGACTGAATGTGACTAATAAGTACAATAATTTGGATTGGCTTGGAACAAACACAAGAAAGTACAGATTTCCTTGTCTATTTCAATAGTTAAGTTCTAGCAATAATTGTGGAAGAGTTCGAAGCGTTAGTGGGGAATGGCCAGTTGCCTATCAGGAAACAACGGTGCAAAACGCGGCGCCGATTTTGATTGAAGGACTGCGAGTGGTATGACGGGTAACTAAAGTCCTAAAGAAAACTGTGGTCCAGGAAAAAACAAAACGCAAAGTACATGGCCTAGGAATCTACTGCACTCCCGATCCAGGTAGGGCTCTCGATTACGCGACAAAGCAAAAGCACACTGATAGGAACTACTACAAGCTTTTCTTTCAGGTGATTGAACTGTACACTGAAAGAAATTATGGACTCAATTATTTATAAATATTTCTAGGCTCGAGTCGACCCTGATAGGAGAACGATTAAGGATGTGCAAAGCATGGAGTACCTGGCCACGCCGACTACTGGCTATGACCGACAGTGACCTGATTCGATCCTATGGGCTCTGTATCTTCCGATGTTGAGAGTTAACTGAAGAACCATAACCATAAATACTCATAACCTTCACAATAAGAAGCTTCCACAATTCAGGAAAAGCAGTGTCTTCGACTGAAAGAGCAAAATTTCGACAAAACGATACGTCTCGTGGTTTTTTCTTTACATGTTTTAAAAATGTCAAAAATTATAGATGATCTGGGACATGACATTCCTGTGATGCTGCAGGGTCCGCAATGATGAAAGAGAGTCTCTTCCGGGACAATTCTTCAATATAACAATAACAATACTAGACGTCTTATAAAAGAGCATTTTTTGATGAATAAATCGCTAGGAACTTCGGAAGAGAAGGCAATTCGAGAAAAAATTCAGGTTCTAGCCGAAAAAGATGAAAACGATGAGCTCGGCTTGATCTGGATGTAAGTGTATAGTGTTTTAGAGCATTAGCTCTTACCAAAGATAAGTTTACTTTCAAATATGGTAGTCTTACTTTTGTAGCTTCAACAAACCGAGGAAGAACGATGAGGACGAGGACGACGACGAGGATCCATTCATCAAGCCACAATCAATTTCACTTTTGGCTCAATTTACGTTCAAAGGACCGAAGGACGGTCGATTATCACTTTTTCAATCCAACCGATCTGGAATATAAATTGGCCAAGAAGGTAGCGTTTCGAGATCAATTCAATTCATTTTCCACAAATTAGATGCTTGCAATGATAGATTCGAAATTAACCACTCCAAGTGTTTGTAAGTATCTTATGAAAGAGCTGGTGGGTTCAATTGGACACCAATGTAAACTTAAAGAATCTAGACTCCACCTATTCAAATGCATATCAATTCTTTGGTTGGCAAATGAAAACTCGGTTAAAAACTAGCAAGTGAGGTGTTACACTTGTTGAAAGACAAAGATGGGTATTCAAAGTTAAATAATAAAACAAAATTAAAAATTTTGAGCATGAATGGAAGGCTGAGCTTTGTTATTTGCACAAAAGTTAGGCTTATTCTGGAAAAAGGTGAAATCATCAGGGAAACCCGAAATTATCGATATTTATTCATTTATTTATTTCCAATGCATAGTTAATTCAAACATCTTTCTATCAATCAGCGTAAGTTTCTTTTCTTTCCTTTTCTTCAGAAATGAACACATTTCAGTTCTGGAAAAGTAAAGTAAAGGCATTACCGTGGGGAAAAGCCACTAAACAAGTTCTCTAATCCTGGTAGTCTGAATATTGGTAAATTATAGAGGAAATCCGAGTGTTCTCATTCTATTTCTTGCCCCAAATCATTGTTGTTTTGTAGAAGTTTTCGTTTCCGGTTTTCGGTTAACAACTGATGACTAAACGAATCGGGCATTCCCCCCCTCCTTTCCCTTTATTTTCCGCGATAAGATATCCCTATTTTGCTTGGCAACAAATTTCTTTTTTGATTTTGTCTTCTCTCATCAATTCTGCCTCTTTAGTATCTGTTTCATTTAATTTTCACTTGTTCTTCAAGGAAATTCAGTCATCTTGTAGGCATCCAATCGTCTAGCAACCGAAATGGACAATCTCTCGAATCCCCCAACGCGAAGCCGATCTGTGGTTTTTTCGCCAAATCTTTGCTTCTATCAAAAACGGCCTTTAATTTAATTGAAGAGTTTAGAGAAGAAATGAAAAAGGAGATGAGTCAATTGACAGCAAAAATGGCTCAAATCAAGGCGTATTTAATGGGGGAAAACGCGAAGTTGGAGGCCGATTTGGTTGACGGAGGGGAGAGAAATCGAGAATTGGAAAGGAAAATCGCCGAGACCTTAAAGAAAAACGAAGATCTCGAAGCACAATTGTACTAATTCTGTAATTTTCTTTTCTGACAAGCTCAAAGTAAAAT